CATGTGCAATACGGAATGTTGTATTTACCTACTAGCCGGAACTACTTTTTATTGGAATCCCCTTGTCATGGCGAACTGAAAAGTTCCCGGTATTTGCGAAAAATATCAAAGTTTATAAAATCTTTGTATCGATCTCTACCAAATACGGACGGTATGTGATAAAAGCAAGACCATACACTTGTGTTTTTCTAATAATAATTATGATAATTCGAGGTTCTTGTATACCGCTTTATCACAACCTAGATCTCAAAGCGGTTCACAAATTATTGTGCTAATTACAGCACAGCTAATGTCAAGAAAGACAAAGGATACTATCAAAATCCCACGACATTCCAAAAATATCCCTGGATTCAGTTTTGGGAATTGATCGGGTACGTAAAAATAAAAATAAATACCGACATGATACTGTTTTTAATGGGGTTTCTATCTTTTCAACTTTTAAGGTCATATGATAAATCAATCTAATGACAGTGACTTCACTCTACAGATGAAGTCATATGGTGAATATAAAAATTATACAATGACAGGGACGTCACTCTACATCTTAAGTCATATGATGGATATATCCAATGTGAGTGACGTAACTTTGCAGCGAAGGTCATATACTGACAGTGACGTCACTCTACAGCTAATGTCATTGATGAAGATATAAAATGACAGTGACGTCACTCTACATCTAATGTCATAGATGAAGATATAAAATGACAGTGACGTCACCTTACAGCTAATGTCATATGATAAATATATCGAATGACTGTGAAGTCACTCTACAGCTAATGTCATATGATGAATATATCTAATGGCAGTGTCTTCACTCTACAGCTAGTGTCATTTGATGGATATATCTAATGACAGTGACGTCACTATACAGCTAATGTCATATGATGGATATATCTAATGGCTGTGACGTCATTCTACATCTAATGTCATATGATGAATATATCTTATGACAGAGACGACACTATACAGCCAATGTCATATGATGAATATATCTAATGACAGAGACGTCACCCTACAGCTAATATCATAAATAAAGATATAAAATGACGGTGACGTCACTCTACAGTTAATGTCATACGATGCATAGATCTAATGACTGTAAAGTCACTCTACAGCTAGTGTCATATGATGGATATATCTAATGGCTGTGACGTCATTCTACATCTAATGTCATATGATGAATATATCTTATGACAGAGACGACACTATACAGCCAATGTCATATGATGAATATATCTTATGACAGAGACGACACTATACAGCCAATGTCATATGATGAATATATCTTATGACAGAGACGACACTATACAGCTAATGTAATATGATGAATATATCTAATGGCAGTGCCTTCACTCTACAGCTAGTGTCATTTGATGGATATATCTAATGACAGTGACGTCACTATACAGCTAATGTCATATGATGAATATAACTTATGTCAGAGACGACACTATACAGCTAATGTAATATGATGAATATATCTAATGGCAGTGACTTCAGTCTACAGCTAGTGTCATATGATGAATATAACTAATGACAGTGACGTCACTCTACACCTTGATGAATATAACTTATGACAGAGACGCCACTATACAGCTAATGTCATATGATGAATATAACTTATAACAGAGACGACACTATACAGCTAATGTAATATGATGAATATATCTAATGGCAGTGACTTCACCCTACAGCTAGTGTCATATGATGGATATATCTAATGGCTGTGACGTCATTTTACAGCTAGTGTCATATGATAAATATATCTAATGACAGTGACGTCAGTATACAGCTAATGCCATATGATGAATATAACTTATGACAGAGGCGACACTATACAGCTAATGTCATATGATGGATATATCTAATGACAGTGACGTCAGTATACAGCTAATGCCATATGATGAATATATCTAATGACAGAGACGTCACCCTACAGCTAATATCATAAATAAAGATAGAAAATGACAGTGACGTCACTCTAAAGCTAATGTCATAGATGAAGATATAAAATGTCAGTGACGTCACTCTACAGTTAATGTCATGGATGAAGATATAAAATGACAGTGGCGTCACTCTACAGCTAATGTCATATGATGAAGATATAAAATGTCAGTGACGTCACTCTACAGTTAATGTCATAGCTGAAGATATAAAATGACAGTGACGGCACTCTACAGCTAATGACATAGATGAAGATATAAAATGACCGTGACGCCACTCTACAGCTAATGTCATAGATGAAGATGTAAAATGACAGTGACGTCACTCTACAGTTCATGTCATAGATGAAGATATAAAATGTCCGTGCCGTCACTCTACAGCTAATGTCATAGATGAAGATATAAAATGACCGTGACGTCACTCTACAGCTAATGTCATACGATGCATAGATCTAATGACTGTGAAGTCACTCTACAGCTAGTGTCATATGATGAATATAACTAATGACAGTGACGTCACTCTACACCTTAAGTCATATGATGGATATATCCAATGTGAGTGACGTAACTTCACAGCTAAGGGCATATACTGTATATATCCGATGACAGTGACGTCATTCTACAGCTAATGTCATATGATGAATATATCTAATGACAGAGACGTCACTCTACAGCTAACATCATAGATAAAGATATAAAATGACAGTGACGTCACTCTACAGCTAATGTCATATGATGAATATATCTAATGGCTGTGACGTCATTCTACAGTTAATATCATATGATGAATATATCTAATGACAGTGACGTCACTATACAGCTAATGTCATAGATAAAGATATAAAATGACAGTGACGTCACTCTACAGCTAGTGTCATATATATGCAAGACCACACACTTGTGTTTTTCTAACGAATCAGAAAGCACGAATTTATTGCGCTCCGCGCACTCGTGAATATTTATTCGTCCGCGCAAAAAATTCGTGCTTTCTTATTCGTTAGAAAAACACAAGTGTGTGGTCTTGCTTTTATCACATACCTCCGTATTTGGTACAGATCGATACAAAGATTTTATAAGCTTTGATATTTTTTGCAAATACCGGGAACTTTTCTGTTTGCATTGACAAGGGGTTCCCATAAAAAGTAGTTCCGGCTAGTAGGTAAATACAACATTCCGTTGTATTTCATGGTCTGAAAATTGCTTGTATTAATTACTATAACAAGATTCAACAGGTATGTGATAAGATAAATATATCTAATGACAGTGACGTCACTCTACAGCTAACGTCCCGTCCCGATTCAATGTAAATACCTGTCCCGTCCCGATTCGATGTAAACACTTTTTGGTCAAACTTTATACAAAGGTCAACAGATCGATCAAATGGGGAGGGGGGGGGGGGGGCATATTGCCCATGTCCGTCCCGTCCCCTCGCGTCCTGTTAGGTCGCGTCGCATCGCGTCCCCTCCCGTCCCGATTCAATGTTTCATTCTTTGACAGATTTTGGTCAAACATTATACAAAGGTCAAATATGAGTATACTTCAGACATCGTTGTGTTTCAGGGATCCAAGGTTAAGGCCAAGGTCACACTTGCTATATATAGAAAGTCATCAACTGATTCAATTTAAACACTTAGCAACTTCATTATGTTATGGATTTTGGTCAAACTTTATGCAAAGGTCAAGTATGAGTATACTTAGGACATTGTTGTGTTTCAGTGTTCCAAGGTCAAGGCCAAGGTCACTGTTGCTATATATATCAACTTTAAGTGTAGTGCCTTGTGTGTGTGCAATGTTTCAGGGTATCAAAATCAAAGTGGTTGTAACTTTTTATAGAACACTGAAACTAATTTCACATGTCAGCGGGGGAATTTATGTCTTACAGTCATTTTATAGTTTTAATTCTTGTTACGTGATTTAATATTGTGCTCGTTATTCCTTAAGAAAATCCTGGGCAATGGTCCTTCCACATAAATGTTTCATATCGATCTGTCTGTATTGTTAAGTGGTTTTACTTTACATAGTGACTCAGGGCATGCGACTGTGCTTGGTGCAAAAGTCGTACAAACAAAACAGTATTTTTATTCTCATTTTTATGCATACATATATATATACCGGGTGTAAATTTATTGTCGTAGCTCTGGCTTTTTATTATAACATACATTGTGTTTTACTCTGTAGTAAGCATTTTTTATAAGTTTTTTTATATCGCAATTTCATTTTGCAACAGGTGTTGCCTTCCACTATTATTTACTGCACATATGGTGAATATTGATGGAAATATGTATGTGTTTTTGATTTAATATTTATGACACATTTTTCTGATCTAATTTATCTCGTTTAATTTATTACTTAATATGTATGTATTTCTCGAGGATAAAAAGGCTTTTGAATTTCTTTTGGTGTTGTTTTAATTTTTCAATAGCTGTGTACCTATGATATTGTTTAAAACATGTGATGATACGAATGGATGTCATAGAAATTAAAAACTGCACCAAACAGAAACCTCACATATATCTTGCGATTAACATATTGAAAACATGTTGACTGTTGAACGGGAGATAACTCGCATAGATTTGTAGTTTGTATACTTAAAAAAATCGAGTGGAGTATCGTATAAAAGTTTAACCGAACTACTCGACTACTCGGTAGTGAAGCCGACGTAAAACCACTCAAACAAAAAACAAGTTATTAATGTGACTTGAGTCATCTACGTTACCGTTAGAGAGTGTACCAAATTACACGATCACAGTTAGTGCGGTTCGTCCAATAAGTCGCTTTAATACGGAACAGTATCCCTTACGCATAATGTTTTTTTTCAGGGCTTTGCCGAAAAATATACATGTCAAATGAATGGGGTTTTTTCACTGAAATATAATATCCAAAAAAATCATAGATTTAGAGCTGATCAATTGGCATACACTTCTCAATCAAAATTGCAAACTTTGAGATCTGCAATTTCGTCCGCTGATTGTTCGTCTCCTGAGTCTTGGGCTGTAATTATTGTCATATTTTATTTATTATGTCGACCAATCAAAATCGTCTATTTCATCAACCGCGCCAAGTTCGCCCTTCTTATTTTTACCGGGAATGACATGTCAGCATTTATAAAGACTTGAAATAAGTTTTGTGTGACGAAAAGGTAAGCTTTGTCATTCAGGTAATCAACGAATATAGCGTAAGTGTTTTCGTTGTTTTTGAAACCTGTCGTCGCATTGTTTAAGAAGGTTTCTTCTCACCTTTTCAGGTTTATTTACATCGCAGTGTGGGTGACGTTAGGCGCGTATAATAACCACTGATAACACATAATGACATGCCAGTAAAAATCCCCTACCAGCTGTAAGTCAGTTTAGCTAACTCGATCCAACGCAAGAAAAATCATAAATGTACATGAAATAGATACATATGTAGCATTCTTTTTTAAAATATCAAATATGTTACGACTCAAAAACAAGTTAAAAATAATATGTAGCGTTTCTGAATATATTATCCCGCCCACTTCGATTTTTGGTAACATTACTCTGAAAAATGTGGTTTTCCCTGTGAATATTAATGGCATTGATAAATTCATGGTCATAATTATATTATGACTCAGAATGCACGTTCAACAAGATACAAGAAGCTTTATTTAGTGTCGTATATGGCATAACACTGAACATTAGCTCTGTGGAGCTCTTTTTACGACAAACATAAGTATAAAAACAGAGTAATAACAAGGTAAAAGGCATGCTAATAGAAAAGGTAGGATTTTGCAGCATAACTATATACATTGAGCTACTAAATAATCAGAAAACAGTTTGATGATAGCACATGCATGTTAAAAGCAGGAACAGAACTAATTATAACATAAGCATAAATCATAAGCATAAAACATAAAAACATATCAGATTTTGCAAGCACATATTTCATATATATCACAGATGGTTAATAACGATACTTTATATTGGAAAATGATATTATGATAATAAGATTTGAATCTTGAAACTTGTTCACATTAGACATTCTTTTCTATGGATTCAAGACACCTCCCCTTTTAACAATTCCTCTCACCAGCCACTATAAAATTTAGATCCCCCACTCCGTAGTCCGTACCTGATCGGTATCTGTATCAGCCATGTCTTCTTACCGTAATATTGTAGCAAACTAGCTATGCTGTTGGATATATGAGGATACTTCTGTAGCCAAAACAAAGATGTAATACTAATAAGCCAATCTATAGATGTAATAGGAGGAAAATAAATCCACGGCCTGACCGGAACTAAAAACCTGGACCCTCCAAACTCGTGGTGGATCAAACAAGTCTGGTTCCTCTACAATCCTACCTCCTTTTTCTAAGTCTTTGCCCCTAAAAACTATTTACAACAAAGGGCTGAGTATCCCCATACTGTGACTTTTCCCCTATGGTCCGTACCAGCCACATTGGAGATTCCTGTGAGTATACCTACCCAAACTGGGGTGTATCTATACAGTTAAGTTATTCTAGCTCTGCAACATTGCCTATGTCCGATCAATCACTGCTTGTGATCATTTTCGTCTTGTACTAATGAATATATACAGAGGATATATACAAAGCAGTATCAACGTAACAGTAAAGGCAAAATAACTACCTATAGAACGATAAAACACCTTATACATTAACTGTAGCTAACTGAATGCTCCCGCTACTGATCGCCGAGAACGTGCATATACACACGCGGCCAATCGCTCGCTGCCCGCGACACAGGTCTCGACCACCCTACCTGTACTCTGGCAATGGCTCAGAAAACTCAACAGGCAGATGTCTCGCTACAATGATAGCTCGGCCGCACTACATGTACCTATATTGTACAATCTATAGAACTCCTCTTGCTAACCTTGAGTTACCCTGACCACTCGGTGATCCCTATAACTCCCTGTAGCAATCTAACGAGCTCTAACAGTGCCCGTGATTTATCAATGTAGCGGACCCGAAGCAACACGATAGCTCGCCCTTGTAAGGTATGATACTTTGGATTGAGCAATCGTAATGAGTAAGTCTTATTCAGACATACCCCATTATTGAAAGCTCACTCTCTAGTATACTTACAACTAACAAGTAATGGTCTGCTCTCGTGTAGCTTCCGACACAGAAAGGTGAATGACGTTGTATGCTGGCCGAGTGGCCGTTGCCGAAAAGCCGTGTCCTGAGAAGCGATGCATGCGTGTTTAAGCCGGCTTATATACCCATAGGCCCCACCCTACCTGTCAATCACCCCTAGACTGTCCACATCACATATGTGTTTTGACCAGGGCTAGGTCAAGGCCAGCTCTACTCAAGAGCGTAAACAACATCGAGAATGCACAGGAACACAGCGGTTTACAAATGCAAACAGCTAGCTCAGTACGTTTTTGTCACAATACTTAGCATTCACCCAGCACTTGAAACAAGGGTTTGCAATCTCACCAATTTTGTTATAGGAGAAAGAGAAATGCACAGCCTGACCTGGATTCAAACCCACGGCTAGGACCCTCCAATTTTTTCAATGGACACTACCTATATTTGATACCTGATTTCTGATTTGCCACCCAGTCCACATAGGCTACACAAATAATAGCAGATTATCAGACATATATGCACAAACATTCTGGAAGCACATGCACAGAGGTTTGTATATTAATGGCATACAAAAGAGAAATGGCCCAGCTATTAACACACATCTGCAGTGACAACAACACAATTGTGACATCAAAATGCTTTCATTCCTTTGCTCATTGTTTAAAGGTGGATATGTATTGGCTATATATCCTGACTGTACAATACAAGACAGAAAAATATGGTGAGGAGATAACATATATTTCACTTTTTTTTTTAGAACAATCCAGAACTTGAAGTTACCCGATTAAGATTAGTAGATGACATAGATTGAAACTATTTGTGTAACTATCAGTTTTAGATCTACCGGTTTGTGAATTCTGTTTATCATTTTGTTATTTCAGTGTACTGAATAGCCTAGATGGTCACTATCAATATGGCTACTAGAACCAGAAAGCGGCGCTGGCAATCTTCACCTGACAGGAAAACTGCAAGGTTGTAGTCATGGATTAATTTAGAAATAAAGAATGCTGTGTAAAAGTACTAGTTTTAAATAACTTTCAGGGTTTGACTCTTAGACTACAGTTACATTAACTATTTCAATATTGAATTTGATCTTTGTTGAAAATTGTTCTTGCAGCATAAACTTTGTTATAAATCTCTCTGATCACTATATTAAAACTGAAAAGTAACCCCGAGTCATCAACATCTCTGAACTTTTGATGTAAATATTGTCATTAACTAATTTTGTAATTTTTATATTGCAGAGCCAGCTTAAATTTTTCTCAGCTTGAAAACACCCCTCCAAGAAAGCGACGAGCAGTACTTGTTGATGACTCTTCTTCAGTCACTGATGATATGTCGGACACTGAGTCTAGTATTCCAGCAGAGGAGTCCTTTACCACCAAATCTTTCTATGGTGGCAGACAGAAGAAGAATTTCCCCCATTCACCAGGCAGGAGGAAGGCAGCCCAGAAAGTTAGATCAAAACTGTCCGAAGATAAATCTGCCTCTGAAGAAGATGTATTGACCTTTAAGTCGAGCAATGAGGACAGTAGTCCCCAGTCTGATATTTCTATGGCAGTGCTGAGGACCAGGTGAGGCACATTCGTCATCAGGATATATATCTTTTTTAAAATATGGATTATGTTGAAGGGAGATAACCCAACTAAACCCATTTCAAATGCTGAAGTTCTCATCTTAACATATGACTTTGTTGTATGCTAAATTTTTTGCCACAAAGGTTTACATTTCACCTGACATAGAGTAGAGCTAGGGTTATCTCCCCTATTAGCCCAATGTTGTTTACCTCTTTAGTTGAAATGTGACCTTTTTGTAAATCCTGGATTTACTACCTTTCCATTGACTCAAAGGAAATTAATGAAATTGTAATTGTTTTCAATTTTCAGACTTGTCCAATTAAAATAGGTTATATGCATGTTAAAGGTAGAAATGCATGTTTTAAGGCTTTCATCTCTTGAATGTCAACTTGAGTTAAGGCCACAAGTTAAGCTTCATCTTGATGTCATGGTCATGATGTTGTCCTCTGATCTTGTTGAATATTTTACATGTTACAGGAAGACACCTAATTCCACTGGGAAAATCTTAAAGAAAACTTTAACAAAAGATAAAAATGTGAAAGCCCTTACAGTGAAAGAAATGTCGGAGAAGTCTGCTACACCAGAAAATGGCAGGAAATTTTTCAAGCACAAAAGCCCAGCTTCTGCTAGCAAGGTAATTGGCAGCAGTGTCATCATACGCAAAGGCTTCAATTTAAAATTTGTTCCTTCAAGGAATTCAAAAAGTGCTGGACTGATTGGAAAGAAAAAAGCAAAGAAACCAGGAAAGGTTTCTAAATCAAGCAAACCCCATGAAGTAAAATCTGGTGAAAGGAACGTGTCTGAAACTTTGATAAACACAGAGACATCGACAACAGATTCCGCTTGTCACAGCACCATGTCTGATGTGTCGGCCTCGGAACAAGAATCACAAAAGACAATTGCCCAGCCCGAGGAGGTTGGGGCTTCCGAAGATCTGTTTCCAGATGGCTCGGAGGTTACAGAAGACAGCAGTCCTGCTTTGGACTGTTCCTCGTTAGCTAGCAGTATGACTGACCTCACATCTGTAGAATCTGGTCCGACATTACGCAATAGAGGAAAGAATCCAGTTACTGGAAAGACACTTTTTCCTATTTTTACTTCCTCTAAAAATTCACCAAAGTCATCGCCAGTGCTAATTCAGAGGTTTGTTAACTCATGCATGCACATCTGATAAGAGGTGTACAATTTCATAGATTATTAGAGATTTTGAAAAAAATATGTTTGCCGAACCTTTATTTTCATGGGAAATACTGTATCAGTATTGAATATCTTCAGACTCTAGCTAGCCCTAAGATCTATTAGCCCCGGGTGTCGGGCAAGTGGAATTGTACACTCGGGCAAAAATAAGCTATTAATGTATTATAATTAATTCTGAACTATCATTTAACTTGATAAAGTAAAAATGTTGTTTACAAGACATTAAATAGAAGCTGTATACAGACATATACAATGAACCATATTATTTTCACATAATTTATACCACACTTAAGCTTGATGATGTTGAACCATAATGTCAGTTCCATCTATAAATGAAGATCCATACTAAATAAATTGGATATATATATACAGTAGATGGAAGTGTCATTAAGTTGTGATTTCTCCAAACTGATGTCTTGCAGACATCCTGTAAGGCCCTATTCTGTCTTTGCATATTGCAAAGTTATCTTCTCTTGTGAGCAGGTATTGATTGTTATGTCATTGGTTTGTGTGAGAAAATTACGTCGTTTTCTCATAAATTGATGACGTTACTCTCACAAACAAGTGACGTAACAATCAATACCTGCTCACAAGAGAAGATAACTCTGCAAAACGCAAAGACAGAATAAGTGTTAAAATCTTTTCAAACTGCAAATTTTGCAAAAATTGTATTAAAATCAAAGAACACAGGGGAAAGCCCTTGATTATTTACTGAGGGCCACTTTTATAAATGAAGGGGCCCATTGCCCCCATTTTCAAATTCATAGAATCAACACTGTATTTGACATCTTTCTTCTCATGCAGGAACTCCCACATGCGGCCCTCACCGAGAATGTCTCCACGGCGGCGGTTACGCCCTGATAAGGACTCGCAGGAGCAGATGATACTGGTAAGGTTAAGCTAATGATATCATTGCATGGGTAAGTTGTTTACCAAGCTTGTGAAACTTGAATAAGCATGAAAAGGTTTTGGTAAAATGTCAGCTAAGGTGAAACTTTATAAGATTTTATGTTGGATGAGCCTGTTTTGTAGACTTGTCATTGTATATTTTGTACTGGTGGGCATCTTTGTTTCCAAATATTTTTTACAATGATATAAAAGTAGGTACGATGTAGAGCAGTAGGTAATGTAATTGTTTTGTTTTTGTAATAAAAGTGACTGATGATTTGACATTGGTTGGTACAGGATGCTGGCCAGAAGAAATTTGGTGCGATCCAGTGTGATGTATGCAGCATGGTATATACTCCAGAGGACCCCACAGACGATACCACTCACAGCAAATTCCATCAGAGTCTTCTTACAGCACTCCGATTCCCTGTAAGTAGGACACTGGCACAAGTGTGTGACGTGCTTGATATGAACAATAACAGTCTTGGACCTTCACTTGGAATCACAATCTCTAGTATATTTATGTTAGACATTTCAGTACTCCAGTTTCCTATAATTCAGACTCCATAACTGTTGTGTGACGTTTTAGAGTAGCTTCTAGTATTTCTGGATGACTGAAGATGATCTGATAAGAATTAAATCCAAAAATCACAGTATTGTTTCCAAACCAAACTAACTAAATTCAGAAACCTCACTCAAAGCTAAAGGTAAAACTGCACATTCTCATTTTGAATTTCACAGCTTGTATAAAATAACAGCACTGTACCAGTATATGTATACTGTTTTATTGTTAGGGATGGAAAAAGGAGCGTGTGGTACAAGAATACCCGGATCTAGGAAGTCGGATCATCATGGTCCTTCACGATGACCCCAAGTATGCCATCAGGAAGGTAAGACGTGGGGGCAACATAACAGCCCACTGTTAAGGACATATGCTTCTTTATCCATTATGGAATTATCTTCCTGATTTTAAATAATAATCAACACTGTTTTCCCAGCATGTCCAAAGCCTAATTTTCACGCAGGCAAAAGTGTTATCTGGTGCATGTTTGCAATGCTTGACAGAAAATTAGTCCAGATTGTGGAATACAATTACTAAAATAGTTTTCATGCTGTCATTTTTTCACAGACTCAATTTCTTCTTATCCAATTTTCATGACACTTCAAAATTCACAAAAATAAATGTCATTCCTAGTCCAAGTTTGCATGCCAAGTTTTTGAGGCTCATCATTATTATAAATTAATATTTGATGTCATTGAATCAAAGTTCCTCTATACACTTTATATTTCTGATCACTTCCAAATATGACAGTATCATTATTATTCATAATGCCCTGTTAAATGTAAAACTACATAAATAGTTGTAAAATGAATATTCTATCTAAAATATTTGTCTTTTTGATGAAGTTTATCATTGAAATGATAGGTGGAAGACATCAACAAGATTATGGGACAAGAACTGGGCTTTCCTGAAGCATCTCTTATATTCAAGTATGGATACAAGGTAATGTTCACTAATGTACCCTAGTACCTTATAGCAATCAGCAGGCCACCAAACAAAATACATCAACAAAACTGATTGAGAAAGTTTAATAATACTTTACATTGTAAAGTCATTGTCAGCCGACTTCAAAATAGTACCGTAAAAACCCATGTAATTTGCGCACTTTTTTTTCAGAAATTTAATACCCAAAGTGGGGGGTGCGTAAAATACACAGGTATAGAAAATTTCAAGTTTTTTTCAGGAAAAGATCGACGATTCTGGGAGATCGCCATCTTGGATTATTTCCCTTATTTATTATACACGGAACTCTAAGACAAATGACGGTCAACAAATTTATTTATGTCAAACATTAATAAAAGATACATAATGTGTTGTTATGTGAGTTTATGTGAAAAGTATTATTAAATAGGTAACCGTTAACAAAAAAAGTTTAGCCAAATTCCTATGCCAGAGAATCGCCGATCAACTTACGACATTACGTTTCGACATCTCGGTGCGTTTCCCCATACTATTACGAAAATGTAGTTGTTCAATTTAAGCTCCGTTCCATGTAAGTT